CCTCCTGTGGTAATGGGAAGTGACACACAGAAACAGACAGAAACCTGAGCAGTTCAGTACCTGGTTTGTCAATTAGCCCAAATAAACAGTGTGAGAGGGCAAAAAACTCTGAACTTCTCCTTTTGGGGAAGCTCATGTAATATGAAGAGGCTTCATCTTTTGTTTCCACTGTTCTCCACCCACTTCGGTGTCCAGCTCCTAGAACTAAATTCTGCTCAGGAGAAGTGATACTGAATGAACCTCCAGAAACATTCAGGTTGACGCCGGTGATGTGGATCAAGACTGATCGAGCACAGCAAAGATGAAAGAAATAAACACAACAGTAACCACCATTTTACTACTGCATCTGTATCGACCAGGACAATCAATACTTACGATGGAAAAAGCTTGTTGGACAAATGAAAATGACCAGACTCTCATTATGGGGAGAGCTAGGTGTGCTGGAGTCAGTAGTTAGAAACTAAAAGGTGTACCAAACAAATCCTAGACATGTAAATGAGGTTGCAAGAGAAAGTGTGAAGTGCAAAAATGCAAATGAAACTGACGCATTAGACAATGTTTTAAAAGACTGTACAGTATATACAGTTTTTAGCCGCTCTCCGAGAAGAACACATGACAGCAATGGCATCAAGTAAGTTTGTGGTAAAATGCTAACCACATTTGTCCAATAGAAGCTTTAAGAAGAAATAATCTCTGCTAACACACCTGAAAACGCATATCACACAACCATTCACATACACTGGGCATGGGCATGCCTGTGTAAGCAGATTGTCCGCAGTTGGTTAGTTGCAGAAAACACTACGAATGAGGAACAGCAAAGGCAGTTGTACAATTATAAAATGCAGAATTTAACTGCACGACAGCTGCTAGGAAAGACATCAAGGTCAGCAACGATTGTAATTTGTTATCGATGTTGCATTTACCACTGGCAGCAGTGGCCGATAAGGCCCAGTCAGGAAGCAAACGTGGGTGTCTGTGTCATCGTTTCCTAAAGTCTCCGTTTCTGCCCTTCCAGACTAAAATGCCACCCTGGATGTCTCCATTTTAGGTACTCGAATACTCCAGAATAATGTGGATGCCAGATGTAAATGTAGCAAAAGTTAAAAGCAAATTGTATTAGTGTCGATGTAGCCTCAAACTCTGAGATATTCAATCTGCTGAGCTTTTACTGAGAACCTTTCCCAGCAATCTTATATTACTCTGCTTATCATGACTGACAGTAGACTCTGAGGGAGAGATAGCCTTGGTCCTATCTGACGTGAGTAGTGCCTTTAGTCATCAAAAGAAGTCTGTTTCTTGCTACTTTGGATTAAAACCCACTTCTCTCCTCACTGAATTTAATTTGAGATGATTTACCCTTTAATAATTCATTCAAGCTGAGGATAAAAGAGAGCAGGTAGAGCAGTCTGAATGCCGGCAAAGCAGTGGACACATGGATGTAGGCATGTAAATCCATCCAATCCAATCCAAAGTTGGAGCAGTCTATATTATCAGGCATTAAATATAATCTTTTTTGTCATTGACATCAGAACTTGTGTGATAGTGATCACAGTGCAGAAATGCAGGAGGATGAGGAGAGACACAAACAACACACATCATGTGGAGCTGTCAGGGCGCTGCCCTTATTTCAGCATCCTGACGCTGTATCTGAGGCCCAGGACCTGACCAGTTTATGATTGGCTCTTCTCCAACAGCATCCTCATGTTGCAGTGTGTAAAAAAGTTGCTTCCGTCTCAGCGTCTCCCTCTCTTTCACACAGCAGCCTGCAGCATGTCAACAAACTGCTAATTCATCAGTGTGCACGGTGTGGCAGAGGCTCTCTGTGTGACATTAAGTCACTCTGATTCCTTTCATAATTTAAGGGAACGTTATAAAAGATGAGCAACTCCAAATGTTTTATGGGACACCTTGTACACAGACAACTTCAGCCTCATGCCAGCACAAGCAAGAACTGCGCAAGTGTATGAAGCATGCAATATGTGCAGAGTTATGGCATCTTTAATTTATCAAGAATAATTTATAGATATGTGGATCAAGGAAGAATCCAGCCAAATTAGATTAAATTTTACCACACTTTTCACCAATGACAGATTTAGATTTGGGCGACATGGCAAAAAAATGATTTACTTTTATTTGTTACATTTGATTTAATAATCTATTTAGAATTTATTATTAATCATTATTTATCATTATTATTATTATTATTATTATTATTATTATTATTATTGTATCATTGTCTTTGGATTGTCATTACTCCTCAGTGGTTTGAGCAACAGACATTTTTTCTCGGTTTAACTAGAGAACAGACAAGCTCCTGTTTGTCTGTGTAGGTCATTTACTTGCGTCGATAAACTAACGAGTTAAGTTGGAAAAGATTTGAATACTCTCATAATCTCTGGAATCCTGTGCACGCACAGTTTCATACAATTTTTTGGTGCGTACGCATCTTTCCAGTTTCGTGCGTTGCCTACGCCACGTTTCAGTGTGAATTCTACACAAGGCTTTGGTACATGAGGCCCCAGGTGTCCTCCTCTATCAGCTGATCCACACCTGCTGCAGGTGAGACAGGTTCAGCGTCCGAGAGCCGAACAGCGCTGAAGTTGATCAATTTCTAGTTTGTCCTCTCTCACTCTCAGAGGTGGTGGTAGATGGGGTGGGGGCTGAGGGGGAGTTTACACTTCTACCTCTGTACAGAACTAATGCGATTGTTAAAATCAGTCACAGCACGAAAAGCTGCTAAATAAACCACAATTCATTCATAATACTGTGAAATCATTTAGAATAATAAACTAGTCTGTACACCAGCACCTGTGTGTCTTGTTTATATTGGTATCTATATATCTATATCTATATCTATATAAACATATAGAAAGAGAGACCTACATGTGTTACTTTATTTTGGTATTTATGATTGTATATAATTTTGCTACTAAAGGTCAGGTTCAAAAAATAAGTAGGTTCTCTTGTTAATTTATGTGTGGGTGAAGGATTTGTGCAGTTTAGTAATTTGATTGTCTATGTTATTTGTGTGTATATAAGAGAGACAGAGACTCTTTCTATTCTTGTTACTTTATTTTGGTATCTATCATTTATTTAGCTTTTAATGATAATTTTTTAGAAGAATATTTTCAGTAATATTTTAGCAGATTAACAGGAATATCATCAGAATATTTAATAACTTAAGTAACTCTTAATAAGAGATATTTTCAGACACATTACAGTGATTTTATACCTATCTAGTATTATATTTGATTTATTATAATTTAATAGTGTGTCTTCAGTTGTAGCTGGGGCAGGGGGGCTGAGAGGGGTATTTGCCCAGGGCACCATACAAGCTAGAACCACCACTGCTTTTCAGTCTTTGTCTCTAAGTCGCTCCAGTGATTTCCTTCACTATGTAATTTCAACTGAAGAAATGATGTGGGAAAAAGTCTTCCAATACTGCACTGTTCATAAGCGATTCCACCCCTCCTGCTGTGCTCCTCTAATTTGGAGGTTCCCACAACATCTCAGCAATAAAATCTCATCTCTCCTGACAGAAAATTTTATGTATCTTATCTTAGATAACAGATTTATATGACAGCCTTTCCAGTGGATTTGCAGACTGACACCACACACAGTTCACGAGACGATTCTTAGCACAGATACACATCAGTACAAGAAAAGGATATTATGTGACTTGCTGCAAGAATTTAATCCATGCCTGAACAAACGGGCCCAGTATAAATAGCGGAATGTGTCTAGAAGCTTCCCTTCCATATTTTTATGCAAAGCACAAGCTGTTTGATTTACCCCATTAGCAGAATTATTATGTGCTCTGTACTGCCAAAAATAGATGCAATGCAACTCTTAATCCTCTTGAGAGGACTGTCACGCTCTCCAAATTCAACAGGTGGTCTTGTAAAAGATATCACTTTTCCAGGATCCAGTCTCTGCTGTGCCACTTATGCTGATTGTCTCAGCTCTGCTATAAATCCTTGCAGGAGGCTCAGGAAACTGGAGGGTTATGTGTCCAATTAATTCATATGGATAGATGTCTCCTTCACAGGAGGTAGGACAAATGTGAAGCTCAGAGTTGAGGAAAGGGCTACCTGAGATCTATTGCTGTGTTTTCCCTGCCATTTTTCTCCATCCGAGGACTTTTTTTTTTGCGTCCTCATGACAAACTATGAAGAAAAAGAGCAGAACAGACAGCACAACACAAAAATACAGCAGAATCTAAAGTTGTTTCAGTGGCTCTTTTTAAATAAGTCAAAAGGCCAACAGATAAGACCTTGTTTGAGTGTTATTTCTCACTAAGACATCAGAGGACATGCTCAGTTAAAAGGTTAATCTCTATGGATGACTGCCTTCATCCAGCGCAGCGGCTGTGTTTGTCACTCTGTGAGTTTTGCCTCTCCTTTTGCTGCCTGTAATGGAAACCAGCAGGGGTTCGGCCTGGCTCAGCAGCAGCGGCAGTGTTTTTCTATCACTCTGTCACCCCAGCCATGATGAACAGAGGCAGCAGCAGACCAGGGGGTAGCAGGAGGGAAGTGGCAGCAAAAAAACCATGGAAGTTGGTATACATCCACCTTCCCCACAACCAAAGAGCTTCTGAACAAGACTGATTGCTCGCGGAAAAAACATGCACAGCACAATTGTGTTTTTAACCAAGTGTTTTCTTTCCTTTTTTGTGAAACCATGCATCCTTTGTAGCTTTAAGCTGCAACTTTAAAAAAAAAATACTGGGGGATTTACAGTATTTGCAAAAACATGTCATGTGTACATCTCTGACATGCTGAAAGCTGGGTTGTGTAAACATCCTTATGACAGCTACTAGGACAAAAGCCTTAATGAAAATCTGTGAGTGTGGCTACTGACCAGACTGCATGGTTGGCGAGGAGCTCCTCCCACCTCCTTGTGCTCTCTCTCCATGCTTGCTGCAGAGGACTCCTGCTCCGCCTCAGCACTCCACCTCTGCACAGCACAACAACAGCAGCAGCAGCAGCAGCAGAAGCAGCAGAGGCGGCGGTAACGTGCCCGGCTGAAGCCGAAACCAGCAGCCTGCAGCAGCAGCTCACACACACACACAGACACACTCGTCTCCTGGGCCATTAACCTGTCGCATGTGGGATACGTGAAGACATAAAAGCTGGATATCGGCTCCTGTGGGAACCCGAAGAGCAGTTACGATACAGTTGTTTATTTTTTTTTTGGAGACCTTTTGTGTTGCCAGGGAAGAGAAAGTCCGAGCAGGTAAGCAGTCAGTCAATCAGTCAGTCAGTAGCCAGTAGATAACCTTGGCTACTTTACCATGGTTACATTGTAGCTGGCTTTCGTTTTCCTTTTTTCCCCCTTCATTTACACCTCTGTTATTGGTTCAGTGATACAGGTTGAGCCGAGTTGTTACAGTTAAAATTTCTGTCTATGTGATAAAAACTACTGCCATTTCACCAGTTTCCACAAATTACGAGGACTGAAAGGTTTTTTTCCCCTGCTACTGTAAACCGCCATAAACCAAATTTGGTAGCAAGTGTTTGGTAGCCAAATCTTCAATGATCAAACCAAGAAAACGGAGGCTCAAGCCGAAACACGTGGGGGTGTTTGGCTTATGCCGAGTGTTTGTTCAGGTCTAGGTGTATAGTAAAACGTTCAGATAAACTGTCTTAAGGTGGAAGTTTTGAGACATTAGTGAGAAGGTCACAAGTTTTGGCGGAAATTCCTCCTGAGTATCGAAGAAGCAGGTTGTATGTCCCCCTCCCCTCCCCTCCAGAATGAATGAATGGGCCGTGTGAGTGAGGCAGGCGTGACAAATGTTGCTAGTAAAAGAATTTGTATTCAAAGTGGGCGAACACACACTGATATGCCCTGCTTATCAGAGCGTAATGTTGACCATAGGTTGTATAATTATTTCCATGGGCATTTCATTCAATTCATTCTTTGTGGGCTTTTGTTTTTGACATGGTACACCAGTTTAGTAAAAAAAAAAAATAATAAAAAAAAGAGCCAGCAAGTTAATGCAGTGAATTATGGTACAGTAAGGTTAGCATAATAACAACCATCAGATGACCTGTGCTTCATGAAGCTGCCCCACTTGTAGCATGTGTGCTGATGTGTTTAAGGGGGGGGGGGGGGGGGTTGCTCCTGCAGAAGGATTCAGGCAAAGTGCAGTTTCAGCAGCTGTTGAGTGTTGATAAGCCCTCTAACCTGAAACTTAATTACTCCTCCGGTCACCATATCTGTGGGCTGTTTACTTCCTTGCTGGGCTATTTAAACTGTTGCCATCCAGTCTACCATTGCATCCTGACTGCATTCTTTAATGCATTACAGTCTGTTAGCTCAAAGCAAGCCCCTAGTTTGTTTCAAGCAGCCCTGCAATTTTAGCTTCCAGTCTGCTGTGTTCAGATTCCCTCAGATTAGGATAGTAGATTTTAATTCCTCAGCAAAAGTGGATGTGTTTTTGAGACATCTAGTGGCCAAGCAGCAGTGTATATGTGCAGAGGTCATACGGACACAGGGCTTGTGACTTCAAGGTTCATAATGCCTTTATTAGGTGACCCTAAACTACAAATTCCACATCAGACCGACTTCCACCCTCAACTCACTTTTTCTTGCGCTCATCTTATTTTTCTGGCGCCCTGACTTGTCACATGCTCATGAGATATTTTTTTACAGTCTGAGTTTTATATTGAAGGCAGGTCTTGAATTTTGTCATATGGCTGAATTTCTGGTTATTCTGTGTGTGTGTGTGTGTGTGTGTGTGTGTGTGTGTGTGTGTCTGGGTGTGTGTGTGTGTGTGTATATTTGTGTGTGTGTGTGTGTTTTTACAAGAGGAAGTGAGAAATATTGGACCTTGAGCTTGAGAAGGTGTGGGGAATGTAGACAGCAGGGTCTATCTCTGTTCAAACAAGGAGGGCTGAACAAGGTTCAGTTTGAGATGTGAGAGTACAAGACAGAGCACAAAAATGTTGGACATTTCAGATGAACCTCTGTCATGTCTTCCTCTGTTTTTGTCAGTTATTTCACTGCAGGGAAAGTGGAACAACAGAGACCAAACTGCCCCAGTTCAGGGACTACACTGTCAGTTTGGTAACTTAATAAACTTCCCACACCAGTGCTCTGTCTGTCTATGCTTTGTTATTGTCCGGTCGTCCCAGAATACCCCCTAGACATGCTCTTGACTGACAGTCAGTCTGTTGTCTTAAGCAACAGGCCTAGTAGCCTAAAGATCTGTGTATCCCCGATCAGTCATCACTTCATATGACTCATGCACAATGCCATAAGATGTTAGGCAAGGCTCGGTTTCCTCTGTTGTCGCAGGAACAGTTAAACAAACAGTGGGCTATGCTTTCCTGCCCAAACTGAGTCAGACAGAACAAAGACAAATGTAAACATGCATTATCTTTGCCAACAGGAAAACTCCTCATTCCTATAGTTATACTGGAGTTATGTTATACTAGAGTCATGAATTACCAGTAGTCCTAGCACAAGGCTCAAGCACTGCTGTCTGTATCTTGTGTCCTGGTATTTTTAGTCAATAAGGGAATGTAAGATTTAGAAATCAAGAATCACTATGACTAAATGGGGTGCATATATAGACAATTTTTTTTATTGTATTAGGGGAGTAATTGTTCATCCTCATGCCTCCTCTTTTTTTTTTCCAGATAATGAGTCTAGGTAGTGAGCTAATGTTGCTGTGTGTCATTGCGGCACCTTGTTGAGAGGCAATTAAAGGTGTGAAAAGAACATAAAGAGGGACACTCAGATGCAAGGAAACAAATGATCCCTCTGAAATGTTGTTGATCTTCTCACTGTCAGTCCAGTTAAACAGGACACAAGAGAGGCAAAGGAAGATGGTGTGTGTCTGTGTGTGTGTGTGTGTGTGTGTGTGTGTGTGTGTGTGTGTGTGTGTGTGTGTGTCAGCCAGTTTGTTTGTGAGAGAAGGAGGACACACATGTGGAGTGGGAGGTGTGTGTGTGTGAGCGCGTGGGGAAGGGGGAAGGGAGGTTATCGTGGGTGTGAGACTCACCCTGGTGAGACTTAAGACATTCCTGACATTCCGACCTCCGGGATGCTTGAGGCTCCTCCGTCTTCTTCTAGCGTGTCGGGGGCTGCAGAGGACTCTGGAGGGCTTTTATGTCTCAAGGCTCACACCGGCAGGCCCTTTGGTTGAACAGAAACCACATACCCTCTAATTTAGGAGGCCATGGGAACAAGTAGCACAGCACACACCGGCTCTTCTTAGGTTACATCCGCAGATGACACTAATATCCTAACGGAGGTCTTCTATGAGCTTCGAGACACTTGTCAGTTCGGACTCTCATCACTGCCTTTACAATTTCACTGAGATGTTTGAATAATTGTATTTCATTATTAACCTGATTTTTTTAAAAAGATGTATCTTCACTCAGAATCATACATCTCAGAAAAAAAAAACTTTTTCTCTCTTGATGCTGATTCCAATACTTCAACTCAGGGCATCTATCAAGTACAGATCCGATACCCATGCTCTCTTTTTCCCAATTTAAAAATCTGAGTGCCTCATTGTGTAGAACTAGTTGATTGTTTCCTTTGGTACTAAACAGTCAGCAGCCTGCAATGACTGAATGAATAGCAAAAACACTGAATTTATATGACATTGGTAAATAAACTGTATTTAATGGGGATGACTAATATCATGGTTGAAATTCAATCCACTTAATAAGTTCAGTGACATGCACAAAATTATGCTTTGAAAATCAGAATCGTTATGTTATTTGTAAAGTGTAGAAGAAGAAATGATGGGATAGATGAAGCCTTTAGATAAAGTCCTTGTTTCGTATGCAATACAGTAAATTTCACATGGTCACAAAGACGTGAGATTATGATCATGACAACCTATGGGCAAAAAGCAACTACATAGACTTCATGACTTCATTCTTCTAACAGTGTACCTCCTCTTCTTTTTCTCTCCTTTGCATACTGCCCTGTGAACATCTTGTGACGCTGCAACCTTCTGTGGCCCAGCCATGACAGTTCATCCCATATCTCCCAGATCCTCCCACAGCCACCTCTGACAACACCCGATTTAGTAAACCAAAGATGTCAGCGTGCAGCGACTTTGCAGAACACGTGTGGAAACCCGGCTCTTGTAAGAACTGCTTCCACCCGCTTAGTGCACACAAGACTGTCGGCGGACTGGATGGCAGCGTGCCAGCCGCTTGTTTGAAGAGCAGCCCGGGAGGCGATGAAGAAGCTGGAGTAACAGCACCTTCACCCTACAGCAAGCCAACCATCGCTGTCAAACCCACTATGATGAGCCTTGACACCAACGAGTCGACTGATGTCAACATGAACATAGAGCAGGTGAATTTCTTAAATGTCTCTTTCCTGTATCAAACCTTGGAGTTTCTTTCTGTCTGTACCTGTCTTTAATGTCTGCTCATGTTTTTGTTCGACAGGAGAACACAAAGAGCCCGGTTGAGCGTTTGGGCGTGAAGAAGCTGTTGGACCTGTCATCTCTTTATATTGATAGTAATGGCTGTCACAAGATCATTGGCAGTATCTTTGTCACCCAGGAGGAGGGTAGAGGTTCTCAGAGTTTAAAGAAGAACGCCAATGGAGACACCCGAAGGCAGCAGATTAGTACGGCCGCTATTACAACCAAGAGCACTTATAACGGAAGCGGTTTGACTACCAAGACAAATTATCAGGAAGCCCATCAGGCATCTGTGGAGATACCTTCATCAGTGGATATTGTGTCTTCCAGTCCAGTTCATAGCAATGGTACAAGCAGTGTTAGTACTGCTACTGTTACCACTAAGACCTCCAGCACTTCTACCACTTTCCCCACCACAACTTTAAGTGTGGACACCACTAGACACAGTCCCCCACCAGCCCTCCGCTCTGTTCCCGTCCTGTCAAAACAGACCAGCACATCAGACTCCTCTTGTTCTTATCGTAGCAGTACAGACTCACTTCCTGGGGCAGATGGATTGGGAGGAAGACAAGTCAGGTCAGGCAGCCCCCAAAGTTCACCAGCCATGGGTAGCCCTCAGTCAGCTCCCCACTCTCCCAATGGACAGCCAAGCTCAGAACCCATTTATGCAGAGAGCACCAAGAAAAAGCGCAAGCCACAAGGAAATGAAGTGCAGTCCCATCCTGAGTCCCCAAACCAGAGTAAGAACTCGTCCTGCTCTGAGCCTGAGCTTTCAGGAGACAGTCAACGGGCCACCATCACTGTAATGGCCGCTCACACAGAGGAGAACAACAGGACTTTCTACCTGAGCAGCCCAGATTCAGCTGTCAGCACCCAGTGCCATTTCAGCCCCACGGCACGTAAAGACCCCAGCAGCCCAGCCTTCCGCTGGCCCAGCCCCAGCCACAGCGCACCCTCTCTGACCACAGAAGCCAGCCTCAACCCTACTCTCCACCCCAAGCCTCAGTCTAGCCCACCCATTCCCCCAAAGAGGAACACACGCTCCCCCAAACTGGGCACCTCTAGCCTCTCACCATCCATGTCTTCTCCAGTCCCTCTTCCCGAACTCCCCAGACTGGGCACCTCAAGCCTCTCACCATCCATCTCATCTCCCGTCCCTTTCCCTGAACTCCCCATGCTTTTCCTCGTCTCTGCTAGAGAGGGCCACTTCAAGGTCCATACAGAGCCCCACAGTGCAGCATCCGAACGCTGGCACAAGCCCCACCACCACAGTTCTGGCTGGAACTGCTGCATTGAGGAAGAAGAGGAGGACGAGGACAGAGAGCGGAAAGAGGGGGAGAAGAAGAAGCTGTCCACCAACCCGGGGACAACCTCTCGGGTGACAGGCCTGGTCAATGGTGCCGCTGTCTGGAAGGAGGCCAGGGACTGGAAGGCCCACAGCAGCCCCCCTCCGATGACAGAGCCAGGCACGGCCCCCCCGGCTGCCCCCAACAATGGTGCCTGTCAGGGGGAGACTGAGGGCACCGGTGCAGAGGAGGAGGGCAAGCATAACGGGAGCATGCCGGCCAAGCAAACGTTGCATGGCGGCTCATCAGAGCTGCTGGCAGCAGGGAAGGGAACTGCCAACAATGAGCCCAATCCACCACCTCCCCCACCTAAGAAACTGCACAGGTAAGAACGACAAAGAACTTTTTGTTTTTACACATTCAGTTATTATCCCTCGATTAGGATAGAACACTTGTACTGTATCTGCGTAGGACTACATTTGATAAATATCAGAAATATACATGTTTATTTTCATTATTGATTAATCTTTTTTAGTTACTCGTGCTGTCAGTGAAATGTCAGAGGTAATGACAAAATGCCAATTAGAAGTTAGCAGAGCCCAAGGTGTCATGCTGTAATATTGACAACCGGACCAATAGATAGACCAATAGAAAATTATTCACTTCAAAAATGTAAACATGTAATATTCTAAATATGAAGCAGTGAAAAGTAAACAGCTCTTTACATTTGGGAAGCTGTGACCACATGATGACAAGAATCTCAAGATAAAGGACAAATGACTAAGTGATTATTAATTGAATATCACTGTCATTATTCAGTTTCCTTGAGTTTCATTTTTTAAAGTAAATTCCTAATGTTACACGCAGCTTTATTTAGTACAGATGAAAACGTTCAGCTCTTCAAAATCTTCTGTTTATATGTAATTTCCTACCTACTATACATTTCTCATAATACCGTTTATGCTAAAAAAAAAAAAGGGCAGAGCACAGTAAATACAGCAGAGGAAGAGGCTACATATTATTTACAATGAGGCAGCTATGTAAAAGGAAAAGTCTAATAGAGGTTTAATTACACACTAGCATACTATACACTCTCTGTAAGATGGTTCCTATGCATTTATCAAACTTGAACTTCCCATTATAGCACATATTTGCGTGCCTGTCCTCAGGTTTCCTACCTAATGACTTGCAGTAGAATTAATGGTACTGTAATTCAGTCATGACATTGTGGTTTCATTATGTTACATAATTTAGCACTTACAAGGCGCACTTAGTCTAAAAGCATAAATGCATTTTTGCTCTCTGTTGGGGACGGTATATATATAATATTGGTGGTGCTGATGGAACAGAAGCTACAGTGCATTGCCCGTGACTGCACATACATGCATCTTACTGCAGGGATTTGTGTGAATCTTATTGTGCCTTCTCCTTTCATAGCATCATTATTCAGCCTTGAATCAGCCTCCATTCTAGCGCCTTGTGATCATTCAAACTGTTCAGGCATATCCCTCAATGCATGCCTTGTTCTATTCATGCAAGTAACGTGACTTTTTCAATTCTAATTAACACGCAAAATGGGTCTGTTAAATAGTCCCCTTCTGTGTCACGTTACTGTAAATTTGTTTTGGCTGCAGCTCAATAGACAGAACTGTAAAAAAAAAAAAAAAAAAAAAAAAAAACAGGCCTTGTTCCATTGATATTGTCATACAGCGACAAAGCTGTCATTAGCAGGCGTTCAGATGCATCTTTGAGGAAGATCATTTTCATATTTGCACTGTTGGCATGATTGGGTGTTAAATTCTTGCTGTCCACATTGCTGCTGCAAACTTGTTTTAAGGTTTTATACTTAAAACTGATTTTATAACTAATTCCATCACTCAATAAACATTTTCCCCTTTGTTCAAGACTTGCACTATCGTGACCTATTCTACACAAGGCTCCTAGCCTACATAGCCATTTATTATCGGTAACATTTGCACACGTGCTTTAACCTGAGTCTGCAGTAGGCTAAGAATACACACACTGTCTGAGTCAGCTACCCAAAGTGGAAACAGAAAAGAGGCCTTGTGTCGCAGTTATAGAGGATCAAATGATCTCCTCAGAATAAACTTTGCTTTGTCTGGTACGGCATGATGAGGTGTACCACACGACTGTGACTTCCTCAAGAAGAGCAGATGTTCTACCATCTTCAGCTGCTCGAGTCAGCAAAATCTAAGTGGGACTGTTTTACTATCAAAAACACATATTGCTGATCACATTTCAAGGGCCCTTATGTTTGTGGTAATTCTAGTAAGGGCCCATCTCTCCTGTTATGACATTGCCGACATTCTGCGCTGATAAAAATACACCTTGTTGAGACACATGTGGGAACACGACTCAAGCCAGCCAGCGACAGTTGTGGCTTTCTGGTGTTCCAAGTTTATCGGCGGGTTTAGTGTGTTTAATCAACAAGTGTCCCTGGGCACCAGGCATGTACTGGAAACTCAACGGCGAAGTGGTGCAGGAAAAAAGAATCTAAATATTGCCAGCAAAGCAACCGAAACTTCGTCTTTTGTGTGGAATAAAATCAAAACAAAAAAAAAAAATGTGTACATGCACCCTGTGAAGCAGCATTTTGATGTGCTGAATCATTTAAAAGCCACAGATGGTTTGAAAAATCTGCCTCCCAGAGCCTTTGGTCACAGTGGAAAACACCAAAAGTTTCCCTCTTGTACTCCTTGTAAGAGGTCAACCTACATATCATGTGATGGGGTCAGTCTAAGAGGCGTGCATGTTTGTGCATGTGTCTGTGTCATGCATTAGTGTGTGAGTAAGTACTCTTTAACAAGGAAGGCGTGTCAACTGGTCAGTGAAGGTTGCCAAAGGGAGGGGCTTTTAGCGAACAGATTGTTGCCCCTGGCAACTCCCAAACTGTCCCAGTCTGGCAGTCGGTCGCCACCAATAGAAGTAGAATTTATAGATCAGCCACGTGGATTCAAGCCCATTGAGTTTGACTTGGGTGTGAATTTCCTTTTGCTCTCTAAACTACTGTTCCAAGACGTGCTGCCCCTCCCTCCACAGAGCCATCCTGATCCCCTCTCTGCAGCAGAACAGATAGCATCTTGTTGCCATCTGACAGACCTGAAGCTGCTCTAAAGTGAACTACTAGGTCAATGAGTGAATGCTACATATGGGATACGGGTGCTTTTATTTTGCGCATCTAATGGGTGCTGTTGCTTTTCCTGCTGAGACAGACTTTAAATACACATATGACTCGTGTGGAACCAGGGTTGTGTTACTACACATGGCGGGGCTTTAGAGAGCCGCCGGTCTGATCCAAGGGCATTTTGTGCCCGCCAGCCCGACAAGGACCTCTGCCTCTCCAGCATGAGGTAGGCACCTGATGGCAACTTCTTTTCATATGTGTCCTCATCAAGACACCAAGATTGACGACACATCTATCATTAGACTTGTAAAAGGAAATGGTGATGTTCTTGTTTACATAGGAAAGTGGTGTCAGAGTTTGAACGTGTTTCAGAAGGGTCGGAATAAACCACAATTCAGAAGTGCCTCAGAATGGTGCAGTGACTGTGGCATGTGGTCAACTTTCTGTTAATTCTGTATTTCCGCTCTGCTTTTGCTTCTTGTACTAGTCTCTTATAATCCTTTTCTGCTGAGATGATCTTATTCTTTCATTTTAACGCACCCTGAGCCCGGATTAAAACTGTGGTAAAATGAAGAGCTTGAGATGTGAAATAGATTATAGACAAAGTGTGTTAGGGAGAGGAGCACCAAAAATTACATTTGCAGAATATGATATAATGTAAGAAAAAAAATGAAAGTGGGTTGCAGTGAATAAGGGAAGGAGCTGGCTGACAGAGAAGAAGATAACAAGGCAAGGCTGGGGCAAGTTGGGAGAGATAAAAAGAATTGGTGTCAAACATTAATGGATCTTTGGTTTATATGACTATATAGCCGTAGTAACTATCCTACCATTCCAGTAAAGAAACAATGGGTGTCTTTCTTTTCTGCACTATTTTGTAACATATAGAGGTTGGACAACATGCACAAAAGAAGGCAATCCAATACAACAGCTATGCTATAGATAACAACCTTTGTGAGTCTTTACATAATAGAAAAGGAACATCTTAGAATATAATTTTGTCCAATACAACAAAAAAGTGCAGTTAAATCAGTTTCTCTCTGACTGCTATTTTAATTTTAACAGAGGCTGTGTCTGCTGCATGGCTGTTGAAGGGGATTGGACTACATGGTACAGGTGTTCATGATACCACCTCCACCTCCTATATGAGTCAAATCTGAGTCAGCCTGCTTTCCTACTTAACCCCACCCCAGTGAAACAAAACTCTGAATATGAATGTATTGGGTGTAATCAGGTTACAGGGTTTTGTTTCATCACTCTTAATGCTGCATAAAATAATGTTTGTGAGCATTTTGCACACCCAAAGGATGCAATCAGAGGACACCCAGCACTATGTCTTTCAAATGTCATCATTCACCACAGAGAAGACACTAAATAAGAGTCAAGAAGTGAAACCAGTTGTGTGAGCCTGGTCCACAACAACAACAACAATATTTCAGTATAGTTTGTGTCTTATTTTACACCGTCCCGCTGCTCTCTGTGGCTAGTTAGCTGTAACCCCAGTCTGATCCCTTTTTAAAAACTCCCCCTGCTCCTCTCACACAGCTTTATTAATACCACAAACACACACACACATGTCAGAATAGCATATGTGTCAACAGATACAGTGTGTTTACTGTAGCATGATTGTTTACATTCTAAATCTGGGTTACCGTCGTTGCTGGGCTGATTGCGGAATACAAACCTCGTCTGACAGGTTTACTGTGGCGATCATGATGTCTCACGTAGACATTTAATCTATTCTGAGGAAATAGGCAATCAAGATGCTATTAATAGATGTTTAGGCTAGAACTGGGCATTCCAAGCACGGTGATGAAAATCCTGATGAATGGTGCATTTTGGTGTCATGATAACCTGCATTTTATACGAAGCTAAAATCATTTGTCTAAATACTGACTGAACGGTTGCACTGCTGAAGCCATATCACAAATATTTTGGTTGAATGATTCTCTTTTCCGTCTTGCTGCTTTCCTGTGTGTGACTTTAAAATAACTGAATATCATTAGGTTTCTGACTTGACCTTGGGCTCTGGGAAATTGTGATGGACATTATTTTCCAACATTTTTTAAACCGAATTATTATTTACCTAAGAAAAGGATTGTCAGATTAACTGATAATGAAGATACGTACTACTTGCATTGCATCTTACAGTGCAATGCTTGTACTTTCTTAGATGCAGTCCTAATCAGAGAAAAGGTGTTTTTTTTTTTTTGTTTTTTTTTGGATGCCCTTAATCAGAAGGCTCATTCAGCCACGCACATCCTCCCACAGGACATCAAGCAATGGCATTCTTTCATCACAGAAAATCTCATGTTTTGGACACAAATCTCAGAGATCTAGAGCAAGACATGCACAGGTGCACACATGTACACAGACCCATAATCCCTGCACCCATTACCATTTCTCCTCTGCCTCAGCATTTCCACTGCCTTTCATCACGGCTCTTTTGTCTGTAAAACGATAGCAGATCCTTTAGCTAACTGCCCAGAGAGAATACCTAACCCTTTGTCTCCATCCTGTGCTCCTCCCCTTTCTCCTTTCTCCTCCTCGTCTGTTTGTTCTGCTGATTTATGGTGGAATTGAAGTCAGGGGCCAGCAGATAAATGGATAGAGGAGTCATTTTGTGATGGAGGAGAGGAAGGAGAGAGGAAGGAGAGATGAAGGGATGGGATGGGATGGGACCGTGTTTCCCTGAGCCATTAGCGGGTATAATGAGACAAGTGAAAGGCTGTCACTCAGCCTAATTGGTCACCTTGATTAGATAGTCTCCTCATGCACAGTTTTCATTGGTATTATAAGCAGCCATCGTGGTAGACAGACAAACCGAGAAGGAGAATGCAAAGCTGGTGTCTAGTGAATTAAGAGAAATTAACAGTTTCTGATTCAAGGGAGATTATGTAACTTTTGAAAGAATAAATTAATAGTAGAAGATAAGAAATAAAATGCACCCTTGCTGGATTCAATATACACAGGGCTTTTGCTGCTACAGCTTTAGTTGTTCTAGTAGCTAAGTGTGGCTAATGGTAGCTAATATTCATAAACTGTAAATAGCTATTGCTATGTATTTGACAATACTGGAGTCATTTTGTTTGCTCTCTATTTGTGCTACTGTCAAATCCTGCTTTAGTCTGACACAGGTTAAGATTTCAATCCTCCAGGCAGTGGGTCCTTGCACTCGCTCTCACTCAGGTTACAGTGTGTCTTTAAAGCAACTAACTCCAGGGAATCTTGGGAAATGTAGGAAAATCTAATGTGCCATTATCCTGTCTTCAAAAAAGGGAGCCAATATCAGAACAAATCTAAATTGCCACATCTGTCAGACTCATGTCATTAGGGGATTTAGTAAGGCTTGTTTGTCACAGTTACAATTACACCGAATCGAGAAGTGTGTCTCTGAAATAAGGAAGTGAAACTACTCCTAACAGTGCTATGTTCGTCATTTAAAATGAAACGGCATGCTCAATCTCATGAACTTATTAGTGACACATAGTGCAGATAAGAAAACCTCACAGGGAAGTGGAGTGGTTCCACATTTTTAAACAGATGCAGAAAGAAATATTCTACTGCTGCGACAAACTGCCGCGGGACACTGCGGTACACAGGCAGACAGCAATGCAGACGCAGAAACAATATACACAAAATTTGTTGTGTTTGTTTACATCTTTCTTTTCCCATCGTATTCACTTACACTGTGTCTGTTGTTTTCTTCTTTTACAGAGTGTCGAGTAAGGTGAGTGGCAGCAACATGGAGCTGGACCGCTGCAGCCAACAAGGGTCAGCAGAGAGTACCACTTCGTCTCCATGGGGCCTGAGCAGTTCCAGCCTCCCCACAGCCTCCACTGACAACCTGACTGCTGACACCGGTAAATACCACTCCATTGACTCTAATAGAAACTTTCACAGGTTTTAACTGATACATGTATATATTGAGATGCCAGGGGATTATCTGATCTACAGGCCAGTTTATACAAGTCACTAGGGGAAATCCATTGACGTTAGTTGTCTTGCTGTTCAGATACTGTTTCATCATGTTTTACTATGAAGATGTACTTTGTCCAGACTGAAACTGAGCGACACAGAAAAAAGAGGAAAAGGAGTGCTGCACGGTTTTATAGCAGCAGTCTGACAGCTTATCTGTTGTTTTTCTTTCGTCAAGTGCACATATACGAATAGTTTTGACCTGGTGTTGATTTCTTTCTGTCATCAAACCTGAGATGTGGCTCAGAATGGCATCTGTCCTTGGTTTAGAAATTGTCTTTGCGTATCAGCCTTAAACGTCTGTGACGCTCAGACGCTTGTAATTGCTGTAACTTCCTGGCCAATGTCGTTTGAAGAGATAATTATGGAGTATGATAACGAGGGAAAAAGGGCTTGGCTACATCCTACAGAGTACTTTTTTTTCAGTCCCCCCCCCCTCTCTGTGAAAGCAGTTATTGAAGACTGCACTGCACAATTATCTCAGTATCTGTCTCCTCTAGTGTAATGTCAAGTTCCAACTTTAAGTCTTTAATTGACAAATGGATTATAATTGGATGGAAGATGTTTTGAGTGTCAGCTTGAATCCTGGATTGTGGAAATTTCCAGCTCTTTTGAGGAAACGAGGTACGTGTTTGCACTGAGGCTGAGCAGTAGGCAGTGACAGAAGGGGAGTAGTAAATAAATCAAATTCACAGCTGTCACCCAGGATTATGCCAGTCTGTGTGTACTGTTCAGGTATGAGAAACACAGGATATATTGTGTGAATCCACAAAGCTAGTTTGGTTTTCTGGCTGTATCTTTGTGTTTCTATTTTCCAAGTATATTTTCGATAATCGATTGGCAGACCTGCTGATGTAAGTTCCCTCTCTTCATAGATTCTCGGGATGCTACACGGATGTCTTGTTCCTCTCCATTTCCCAGAAGTCCAGTGGTCTCAGCTCCAGGATCTCCTCACCCACCCTCCTTCAACAGCCTAAGTAACCAGCCGCCGCCACTCCCTGAGAAAAAAATGGTCAACCGCACCGTGTCGGCTCCCGATAGCACCAATGGGAAACCCTTTGTCCGAGCCTACCCACGCCTCCCGTTCACTGGCTCAGAGAGCAATGTCTGTCGACCTGCTGACATCACCTCCCGGTCCAGTTTACCGTCCAGCCCCGTTGACCCACGGCCCATTTTCTCCTCCAGTGATTCCCTGGAGCGTTGTCATGCCCCGCTAGGCCGACCCTCGAGGTCCCGGACATTGGATGAGCCGCTGAAGACTCACGGGCGTCTGGGTGTGCACTGTCGAGGCAGCATCACCTGCTCCTCTTCTCCTCAGCTCAGTGCGCCCTTCTCCGCCTCAGAACCAGGCCCGGCACCTAATTTGGGCTCTAGCCTGCAGCTCCAAACCCTCCTGAGTAACATTGACAGTAGAGAGGGTGTGTACTCCAAACTGGGAGGCCTCTATGCAGAGTCCCTACGACGCTTGGCTCTAAAATGTGAGGATCACTTCACCCGCTCCCAGAAGAATCCACTGAGGTTTGAGGAGAGCAACTGGTCTCTGTTCAGGCTCACATCTAACAAGCCCAGCTGCAACGCAGGAGATGCTGTGTACTACTCTGCTGCCTGTGCCTCCGACCCCAGCAACTCCTACGCTGTCAAGGTAATCTCTAGTGGGTCTAATTTGTAGAAAGATATTTTATACTATGAATTTGTTTTGATACAACTTTTAATATTTCAGTCCTGTTTGATTTGGCCATTCCTGTGGTTACTGGTGGCAACAGCAGCTACCCTTTTCCACCAAGAGCAGTTTTACATCAAATGGCTATTGCTGAAAAAAATAACCATAAACAATATCAAGAACAGGGTTCTCAAGTGAAACTGAATTACATGTACATATCTTTGCATCATCATCACTTGATATCTCACACAGTTTTTAATATGTAATTATTATTGAATAACCTGATGGAGTTGCTGATATTTGAACCCTATGATCATTTCATGGTCGGCCTTGATTTTGAATATTGAGTACAGATCACAATAAGTATAACATAAGTATTGGAGTGTAAACAAGTGTGGGTTGGTGGTTGGTTGCAGTGTTTAGTCTCTCCAGTCAGAGCAACTGAAGATCATTTCCACTGTTGTTTTAAGGGATAATTTGCACAGTGGGTGTTGTCAACTGTTCTTTTAAGCAGGGATTTGACAGTTTGAGGATAGAGTGAGGAGATTAAAATTTCGGGTGGTGGTCGTGTTTGTTCTTAGGCCACAGATGGGATGGTCCTCACTACGACACAAACCTTCGGGGCATGTAGTGTAAACAGCCACTAAGAAAAGTAGGGTGTGGATTCAGTCTCACTGACCTTTGTCCCAAAGTCATTAGTGCTGTAAGAAAAAAAACAGCAGCCGTTTGTACAGTATGTATTATGCCACAGCCTGGGTGCCTACACTCTTGCTTAATATCTCTAGGCCCAATTAATCTTTAGATTCCAGGCAGGATTTAAAGCCAGACAAACCCCTGTTGTCAAGGCCAACACACACACAACCACACAATGTAGAATAATACTAATGGTGATTATATAATGTGAAACCAGCATTGATTAGTATTCCACACTGTGTTTGTGTAACTTTATGTATTCACATATTACCAACGTTTTGCTGGCTGAAACGTGAACCACATGAAAGAAGATTTTAGTCCAGTTAATCACAAAGAAGAGATTATATTTATTAATCTGACCCCAACGCACATTGAAGACATGCTAAAATTTCATGGGAGACATTTGAATGTTTGTTTAAGAGATTCAGATTTTATTCAGTTAGTTTTAGTTAGTTTGTTATTCATTAGTTTGAATTCTCCCATTGCTTACAAAAGACTGACAAACACTGAGAGGCTGTAGTGGTTTACTTTAACACTAGCTGAACCCAGTCCTGGAATAACCTTGTGAGTTAAAAATGCTTTTTTATTTATCTATTTTTTTTAAAGCTTTTCAGTTGGAAATTAAGTTTAAATCTGCATCTAGGACACTGGTTTCACTTGAATTAGAGCAGGAACTGATTTGGCATTGACCTTAGAACTTCACTAACAAGCATTCCTTTCTTATGTTTCTTGGCTCCCCTCCCTTTCCGTCTCTGTGTGGAATTCCTCTCTCCCCCCTCTCTGTCCCTTTTTTCTCCTTTCCTTCATTCCTTCCTCCCACTGCCCTTTGTGTTTATACCTCGCCAGATCTGTAAGAGTCCATCCATGGAGTCCAAACAGGGCCATCTCTACGGTCTGTCAGTGCAGCAGAGCATGCCTCCCCACTTCAACCTCCAGCAGGACTGTGGACACTTTCTCGCCTGTGTCCCCCAGAGCATGTTGCCTTCTGATGAAGTCTCTCTGCGCACCGCACCTGCTACATCGCCGTCTCAGCCCTCCAAGTCTGCACCGGGCCAACAGGTAGACCGAGAGCGAGTGGTGGTCATCACCCCTGAGATCCCCCAGCAGACAGCAGCTGACTTTGTTCGAGAGTGGGAGGCGTTCCATAAAACTCAGCCAGAGGTATACGAGCGCCGCGTTTGCTTCCTCCTCCTGCAGCTGTGCAACGGCCTGGAGCACTTGAAGGAGCATGGAGTCACGCACCGCGACCTCTGCCTAGAAAACTTGTTGTTGGTGCCTCATCACCGCAGGTCCTCCCAGTTCCCCCAACAGACCAACAGTGAGAACTGCACCAGTAATGGTTCAAGCGGTGCAGACAATCAGCGCCACCTTCCCCGGCTCCTCATCAGCAACTTTGCCAAGTCCAAACGTCGCTCCTCCGAGGATGCGGCCTCGACCAACGTGGACCCTCGCACCAAACGTGACCACGCAAGGCTGGCACCTGAAATTGTCTCAGCAGCCCAGTACCGCAAATTTGACGAGTTCCAGACGGGCATCTTGATCTATGAGCTCCTCCACCAATCCAACCCATTTGAGGTGAGTCCAGCACTTAAGGAACAAGACTACCGGTGTGAGGAACTGCCCCCCATCCCCTCTGTCTCCCTTTACTCAGCCGGCCTCCAGAGGCTGGCGCAGCTCCTGCTCCAACCCGACCCCATCAAACGAATCCATATCCAGGAGGCCAAACGCATATTGCAGAGCCTGCTCTGGGGCCCCAGGAAGGACCTGATGGAGCAGCAGTTGGAGAGACACGGACACGGAGGAAGCTTCATTGACGGATCCCGACACGAGGGTCTCCTCAACTGGCTGGATGTGAAACGAGCCCTGCTGATGATGAAGTTCGCTGAGCGTTCACTGGAGCCAGAGAGGAACGCGGAGCTGGAGGACTGGTTGTGCTGTCAGTACTTTTCCTCGGCTCACCCTTTGTCTCTCTGCCATACTGCTGAACTGCTGTACTCACTAAAGTAATGGCTCACTTTAGGGTTAAAAGTGTGTGTAAGTGGAGCCAAAGCAATGTGTGAATTTGTGAATGTGTGTATGAGGAAAGACCAATAAGTTTAAAGTTAATGTCCAGACACTATGGATGGGTCCAGACAGTGTGATCCTTTGGAGATACTGTGAAACCTGCCCACCTGTTTGCGCTACTGCTACATGCATGAGAGCCATGCATCAACCTAGCCGTCCACTCTGAACCTTTTACACCAACAGTATCCCGCCACAGACTGTTGTCAGCCTAACGAAGAAATGACTTGAAAACTTGGGCATACAGTGACAGACATATTGACAAAATCACTAAAACATTCACAGCCTTGTGCTGATAAATCCATCAGTTAAAAAAAAAAAAAAAAAGACGGATATAGACAGTATTCATAATTCTATAATACACTTACCAAAGTTTCATGTTTGACACTGTATTTTGTGTATTTATTAAATATCAATTGAGACATTTTACCACTGAGAACAGGATAATAATAATGTCAGCCAGCTTTGCGAAGTAATGCTGTGTCTAGTTTGAATGTGCAGCTAACTTTTATTTTGCCTGATATTTTAATAAAACTATGAGGTCAGTAGCAAACGTACAGTTTTGCACCTTCTCCGTCATATGTTTATTCATGGGCACACAGTGCTGTACTGTGTTAACAACACAAACTTGTCTTTAACCACATCCATAGAAGGATGCCCATTCCTCTTTGGATACTGGTTTTACTAGTTGGACTGATGGACGCAGCCTCCCCTAAATGTGTGTTATCACAGGCCTTGTTAGGCAGCACTGCATAATGAATAGACTCGGTATAAATTAATGATAATCCATACTGTCTAACACAACTCAACATAAATCGGATTGACAAAACAATTTTCAACGTTAGCGATTTCTTCCACTGAATGGACGATGCCCAGTTCTTCCCTATACTTACTTTTTAGTATATATTTAAATGTTTTAACATTTGTCACAGTGCCTTTTGTTCTTTGTATATGTTACAGTGACTCGGAAGCCAAATGTAAATATTTCTGATCATTTGTCCTTTGTGAAACTGGCCTTTCACAGAATGTTCTAGAAACGACTTTGTACAGTTATTTGTAGATGATATTAGAAAAAAATGAGCCCAAGCAGGTCTTAAAAAGCCATGAATATGAGCAGCAGTTAAAAAATATTTATGATATAATTTGTTATCCTGTAGTAGTCACTGGAATTTCTGTGTTTATTTTAATATGTGGATTATCAAATTATGTTGGGTTTTTTTGGCACAGCAGCAGCTGGGCCTGTCTTGTTTTTTTTCTCCTATGTTCTGCGTAGGCTGCAGAGGATGCTTCAAGTTATGAACTTTTTATCTCCAACAAAGAATTTTTCCTAATAAAGTCCAGAGAAGAGAATTAAACCACCTGCATGCAGGTTTTTGTCCATGACAGATGTTTCTAATGTTGAAGAGGAAAAAACATGGTCTGATCTCACCGCTAATACATTATTGATTTGAATTATTTTGTGTGTGCCTCACTTATTTGCATCTATCAATAAACTGTGCATATATTTTCTCACAGTATTATCCAGTGTTTTGATCGTTTCTTTGTATTCAGTCATTTTATTGATTGAGCTATTAATATTACATTGATCAAGCTATTAATAATATTTTGTTGTTACTGGCTTCCAGTATTAATGAACCTCTACGAAACATTTCATGTTGTACACATTGATTCCCTCTATATGGTAAAATTCATCAGTCTTTTTTGTCTTTACTAGACATTCAACTTCAGAGAGAGAGAGAGAGGAAGTGAGGAGCTGACTGGAGAACAGTCCCCGTGTTTTGTGACAGAGGAAGTGCAGGGTGTTATTTTGATGAACATGGAGCATGACTGCATACAAAATAACCCAGGCTTTGTTATGCTTCTTGTCTTTATTTTCTGGCTTTGAAATCCTACTTCTCTAAAGTACATTATGCAAGACTGTGGCATCTATTGTAATGGCAGAATGAAAAACTTTAACCCTGTAACAACTAGTGAAATTTGTGAATGCCTCCAGCATCAGGTCTGAGCAGGAAGTTACTGCAGCTGAATATATTCCTTTGTCTAGTATTTCTGCTGTTAGGTGAAGCATGAAACACAATTTATGCCAGTAATTTAGGTTACTTTTGATGTGAGGTTGAATTTTGAAATGGTTTATACGCAAGATGGGATGGAAGAAATCTTAACAGGCATAAGCCAATGGCCAGAGAAAGCTATGAAACTTAAGCATCTGCTGTCATGGGGGAGACAGAGTGCATTGCACAGATCAGCACAACAGGTTGTACGTGTTGTGGAATCTCAATTTGAGTTTGGAGCCTCAGGCCAAAACAGACCACAGACTTCACCACCGCCCCCCCACCCCACCCAATCCCTCCCCCAGCGCTGCCCCCCGGCTCCCCCCCATGTAGCTTTCTGCTCCACATCACTCCTTCAAAACCACTGGCTGCTCCCTTGTCATAGGTGGAACTATGTTGCCATGGTGTTTTGACCAATGGAATGGCATTTCCAGGAACGCAGTCAGTCTCTGTCTCCCTCTCTTTCTTTCTCTCTCTCTCTCTCTCTCTCTCACACACACACACGCACGCACGCACGCACGCACGCACGCACGCACGCACGCACGCACGCACACACACACACACACACACACACACACACACACACACACACTCACCGCGTGAAGCAGCCTGTTGAGCAAGAATCCAAATAACCCCCCTGGTAACAGCAGCAAGGCTCCTGTCTTTGTTTGTTGAGTGAGCACCGGTCAGGAGGTTGCATACTTTATTTGAGCAAATACACATCTCAGCATACCATCTTCAGCACAGGACCTAAGAGGACAAAAACAAAGACACTACACTCAAACCTCCCATAGCTTAGGTATGAATGCAACTGCAGTGAGAAACATCACTCAGGATACTCTGAAACTTACCAGCCTTACCACTGCTGATGCTCCTCCAGGTCTATTTGCTTCTTTCTTGGTATCTTTTCATTCCCAGAGATGAAGGTCTAAACACTTACAATGAGACATAATGTAAAAATATACTCATTAGAGGAATATACTGCCTGTGTATCCATATTCGTTTACCCACATTTAATTCTTTAAATTACAAAGTGGGTCTTAAACTAGAAGTAGGTATAATTTTGACTAAAATGACAAATTTCTCTCCTTCTTCTAGTCAATTCTGTGCATCTGGCCATAATTACTTTGCAGGTGCATTGTCATTATGTCTATTACACCATCTGACTATATTATCTGTGAATGCTACTATCTCATGCTATTGCATTTATCGACAAAAGATACCTACTTTCTTTTTTTGCACATGTTCAACTCACATTAAATTAAAACTTGACAGAGATACAAAATATCTTTATATGTACGTGTCAATATTTCAATTCCCCCTGAAACCATAAGTATGACAGCCTGCAAGTACATCTACTTAAGTGGTAATGGATGGTGCACAAACTTGCATTTGGCATAATTAAAACATACTTACTTTGGTTGTTGTCTGTCTCAGCTGGTGAGGAAAGCTATCTGCAAAAGTTCCCAGACAAAATTTCCATTCAGTGGCCAGGCTTGATGTTTTTTGGCATTGTTCAGATAAGGGTCGGTCTATAAGTAAGGATCTTTACATTCACAGTCATTCTGCATCTTTCATTCAACTCTTTTCGGTATCTGCAAATTGAAAACCTTGTCAGGCAGTCTACGCCTCATTTTGATGTGATGCCCAAAGAATCCAACCTCTATTACCTCATGACAAGAATCCCTATCTCCAAACATTTAATCTCACATCTTATTAGACTTTTTTCTCTAGCAACCCCTTCTCGTCACATTAAAGAGGCATGGATTAAGGATACCGATGAGGAGATTACAGATGAGTTATGGGCAAAAGGGTTAGATGAGATCAAAGCATGTTCTATCAATGCTGGACTTCAGCTTATTCAGTGTAAAGTCGTCCATCGGCTGAACTTTTAATAGAATTAAAATAAAAAACGTTTTTCTGTCTCTGCTACCTGTAATATGTTTTTGGAATGACATTTTTCATTTGTACAGAGACATATACAGCAGACAGTTAATCCCTGACGGTCTCTTGGTGATATTGGGTTGCTCCAACTACTATTTGCCTCTTCCCCTTTGCATTACAACAAGCCCTCAGGCTTGGTGTGGTCATAGAAATTAGGCTTTCTCAGTTTCTCCTCCTTGATTTAAAAAATGGCTATAGGACACCATTATCATATCAGACTGTACTGTACTGTTCTGACCCTCAATCCACTTGTGGACATTTCAATCATTGTACGGACTGATATGCACTTTCTTTATGAGTTGCCATTTTATATTGTTCTAGTCTATTTGTTTTGGGTTTTTTTTGGGTGTGTGTTGTAAAAAAAGAAGAACATTTTCACAAATAAAATATATATATATATATATATATATATAAATATATATATATATTAATGTGTGTGTGTGTGTGTGTGTGCAAAAATTCCACGCAGTTCACATTGTTAAAGCACAGCCCGTGGCTGATTTGACAGTTAGGATGTCCCCCGTCTGTGTCCTTGCTCTTCTGGTTCAATGTTTTGACCACATAGTGGATTCCAGCTAACCGCTGCTTGCAACTATTTGCCCACACTCGTATATACTGGTGCTGTAGGAGCTGCAACAGCATGCTTCACAGATTCTACAATTAGGCTATGGGTTAATTACTTTTCCCTGAAACACAGCTCAAAGCTTGAAGCCACAGGCCGACCCTATTAAGAAACCCAAGAGTAACTGTCACTGACATGGTGGCACTACTCTGGAATTAATTACAAAGATAAAAGTGACACCTAATGTTACCCAGCATCCTCTGGGACTGTGCACCACAAGCTAGCAGATAATGTAGTCACAGCTGTAGATTTCTTCAGGCTGCTGTATTTTTCTATCCTTCTAATGATGACCAAATTGATTTACCAATGTGCTGGGACGGAAGTGTTCAGGGTTGACACCTCCTTTGTCTCTCTGGCAGGCTCACCTGAAGAGGCCTTTGGTGCAGTGCCACAGCACCGACATCATGCAACTGATGCCTTTATTACCAAAGCCTATAACATAATATCGTACATAAATCTTAAGAGTGAGACATGAGAATATCAAGATACGAAAAGAGGCGCTCTACTTCCTCTGCAATCCTGGTGTAAAGAGGTGCAGTGGTTAACTGATGAACTAGACCTCTTCAGTTTCCACCCTAGTCCTTCACACTCCACCAACCTTTAATCTCTCATCAATACAAGTGCTCCTGCAATTTGTGCTGGCATTTCCCCATGCCATGCTGCTTTTATTATTCTGCGATAATTAGGTCCACGAATCTTTAATAAAAACAGAAGGCAGACTTACCACTGGCAAGTTAGTAATACTTGAATCAATAACCCATGGTATGAAGTGGAGCACTGTAGAGAAATTAAAAACATTGACAATTATAACTACTCAAAGACAAGTTTAATCAATGAGTCATTTTAGTGTTTTATATATATGAAGGGTGCAAGTACTTCAGTTTTATATGGGTCATTCTTAAAATTTTAAAAGAAACACTACATGTGACAAGACATTTCAACATACCTCTGCAAATGGTACTTAAATTCTTAATTGACATTTGAGTTATGCATCTGTACTTTAAGTTTTAAGTCATAGAGCTCCATGCTTTTTTGGTGTCATTTATGTACTTAAAAACAATTAATGTAAACATTTTAACTATTTTTACATTGCCACAATTTAGCACTAACTGCAACACAAAGTTTTGATGCAATATATTTGAATGACAGTGCAACAGTCCCAATATATTTCTTTTAATATTCTGACATCTAGTGGCTTAATGCTACTACTACATTCAGATTTCAGGTTGACACGTATACTTTGTCCCTGTAGTACAAGGCAGCAGTACTTGGTAAATGGGTTAGGGTTAATGGTAAATGCAGCCATTATTTTTAAATTCTTACATAAAAAGTTATAAAAACAAGCATTTTTTTCTAAGCTTTATACATTCAAAACACTCATTCTAATACATTAAGTGTCTTTGTAATTATGAGGCATTAACTCACTGAATGTTGAATTCTCTGTCAGCGATTACAATTACAAAATATTTGAGTTCTTTGCCAAGCAGCTTAAAGACAACTGCCAGAATTACCTTTGAGGAACGTTTAAGAAAACGTCAGTTTTTGGTATGAAATACTGTGCTACAGTGGATATGAATTCACACCCAAAAATGTCATGAATTGCCAAACTTTATTTTTTAGATCAAAACAAAGCACAGCATTAAAACATTTCAACACTGTAATGACATCCACCCACTGTCTGAAGTGTGTGAAAAAGATGCAATCAAGCACTTTTGGCTTAACATCATGCTCAGAACTAAAGTTAGTCTAACTAAATTGTTTGGTCATGAAAAAGACTCCACCCTTTAAATGATTTTACATCACTATCAAAAAGTTGAATTTATCATGCCAAAGCCTAAGCAGACGTAGGTGAAAAGAAATTCACGGAACTTCCCAAGTTTGTGATGTTGAAAAATGCATTCGATCATTCATTTGATTATGACACGTTAGTATGCAGCCTGTAAAGCAGTGAACACCAGGTCCTCAGGCAGGACACAGGTGAGATCAGCCCAGGTTAGAGGAAGGGATGGGGGAGAGATGAGGAGAGGTTTTGTGGGTTCTAGGAGGTGGTGTGGGAAAGAGGGGTTCGGGTTTCAGTTATAGGGAAATATGGGGCTTGGGGTGGGGTGGGGTTGGGGTGTGGGGCGGGGGGAGGGGGGGCTGATTTCGAGGCTTCTGTGTTCATTTCTTCTTGGGTTTTGCCTCCAGGGGTAGGCCAATATCCCTCCCACGCAGTTTCAGCCCTGTTCATGGCAGATTAAAGAGACTGATCAACACATAGGTTATATGTGTGTATACCTGACAACTGAGACATAATGAAAATGATTGTTCTTTTGTAGAAAATAATAGCCAACGGTTTTCTTACCAATTGCTCTCTCTATCTTGCCCATGACCTGGTTGTTGGGAATTGCTCTCCCGCACTCATAGTCTGCGATGACTTGAGGCTTCTCATTAATTTTCTGAGGAAAAGATTTATGATACATAATTTATCATTTTATTGAACCATAAGGCCTAAAGCCAGCAAAACTACTCAAGCATGCAAAAGCAGCTCTTGTAGCTTGGGATCTATTTTTCTTCATTTTTTTTTTGCAAGAACACAACATTTCAAATTACTGTTTACTTGAACGTTTAAGTTATTAACATCACCGAGTGATCGTGTACAGTAATTCATGATGATTTTACATGATAAAAAGCAATGATGGTAAGGTTTGCACAGGAAATGGCTTCACAAGTTTATACGAATATCTGTTAAAGAAGTAAAAAGGAGATGATTACTGAGCAATTGTACCATTATATACTCAAAATTAATCATGTCTACAATGTTGTCTACATGTTTTGTGGGTATCTCAATAACAATTTATCATTTTTAACACCGGATTATCCAATGCGACTAATTTGTATGATGCTGTATTTAATAAGAGGCAGATCTTACATTGCTGGTTCGAGTCAGTTGGCTGTACTACCGAAATAGATGTCAATTCACTTTCTCTGCTCAATTTCCTGCTTTTAAGAGTATTTAAACCTCTGTGCAACACTTGACACTAAATTGATTTAACACACAATAAAGGATATTTTACAGACAAAGGCATCTTTTCCAGCAGTACCACAACCTGTTATATGTTGTGCATGTGAATACATGATCATTCTTTACACTCACAGTGGCCAGGTCTTTCTGGGTCAAGCCTTTATCCTGTCTGCCTTGCTGGATGACCTTGCCCACCTCCAGGGTAACTCTGTCATGGTGCAGCTCCTCTGTTTCCCGGTCCAATTTGGCTGTGTTCTTTGTCACAAGATGCTGTTTGTTTTGTCCTGCAGACCCTGTGTGACAAGTGTTGGATCAAGGTAATGTTAATGTAATGCATAATCACAACATTTAAATTCATTCAGAATTTTAAATTCTAAAATGACAAATTAATTTATTGCTCATTGTGTTTTGCTGAGTTTGGGTGATGAGAGAAATATCTAAAAACGCATCAAAATAAGGTCACTCAGCAAATGATATGTAGTCTTTACCAAATTTTTACAGAAAGCAGAAATTTACATTTCTTGGTTGTCTCAACGTCCTCCCCACGTCTCTGAGCAGCCGTGATAGCCTAGAGAAAACATGGACATGTGCACACCTTAAATTTCAAAGCATATTCCACTTTAATTGACAGCAGACTGCATTATGACCAGGCTCATGTAGCTTTTAGTTTATGATTACAAACCGTGTAGTTAATAAGTAATGGACATGCTTGTCTAAGTGTGACGCCTAAATTAAACAAAAGATAACACCCTGTCTAAGCACAATCAGACCAAGTTCACAACTAGTAAGGCTGTAATCTTACGGTTGCTTTCGACTGCTTTCCCCAAAAGGACCATGAGGTTGCAATATACGCAATTTTGTAAAGTTACATGACAGCAGTTACTTAAGTAGGTGTATGCTTTATGGCATTTCAGAAGTCATCAACAAAAGGCTCAGGCGCATGCCCTGTGATGTTCAGCAACATGTCTTCCGACAAGCATTACAAGACATCCACATGCGGGTTGCACATGAGATACTATCCTTCCCCACCCAGACACCTAAAACTAAAACTAAAACTAAAAGTAGCGCTAAATATGAGTAACTAGCTATAGCCAAGTAACCCTGTTCAGGTTAGCTGGCCAATGCTAGCTAGCTGCTATTTTGGTCCGTCGAATATTTCACTAGCTAACGATATCTTCCCCGGACTAAATTACACATATTTTTGAGTGAGGTTTGATTGACTGAGGAGCTTGTAACGTTAACAACAAATTGTGTACGTGGACGTAACTGTTTGGTTAACTGAACTTAAGCTTCGTCCGGAGTTCACTGTTGTTACTAACTAAACTAAGTTAAACCACGAAGCATGGGCGATATTCACTGGATAATTCAACCCATAACAGCGTGCAGAAATCATCCTTTATAATGATACATAATACACAATTAAGTATTAGCTGAAACCCATTTTGAACCCATTTAAAGGATCAACAGTTCAGAATGTGTTTCAGAAAAAAACAAAAAATTACAGATGAAGTGAGGGGTTCATGCTAACCTGCTTGGATTTGGCCTGGGCAGCAGTGGGCCCCTTCTTCCTCAAGACAGTAACGGTATCCCAGTCGCTTTCAGCCATGTTTTCTGGGGTTCACTCGATACCCGTAAAGGTTAATATAGATAAAAAAATAAGTTTAACTCGGTGCGTTCAAAATGATCCTTTCAAAGAATGTAATGCTACTTTAGCAAATCATACGCTCCTTCCAGAATTACCACCCACGCGCTCTGCCAAAGCTTTATTTAAAACTGTGTGGTTAACAATGACATAATGTAGGAGTTGGAGCAGCGCCCTCTGCCGGAGGAGCATACTGACCTACATCCACATCGACGTTTTCAACACAGAATGCCTGATACACAGACAGGGGGACATACATTTTGAGAACAAAGGACACAAACTTACAAAAGTCCATACTTAAGTTACTAAACTGTAAACTGTAACAAATTGCCTACATATGAATTTATTAGAAATTATTTTACTTTTCACAGGGCATAGAAAACTGTGAAGTCCTAAATTACATGTAAAACTTAGCATGATAAGTGAAAATGTACTGATAGAAAAATAAAATGTGCAAAGACTTTAATTTCAATCCTAAACATGGTGGAAGCGAGCTGTACAATGTTTTGGTATATTAGCCACAGTCTACCAGGTCACCAGTTACAAGACATTTCAGAGGCTGCATCGCTATTGCGTCGTGTGCGGATGGGAGACCACCCGAACTCGGACTGGGCATCCTCAGCCTGGTGAAGACGTGTCCAGCGGTAGCCATGCTTGGAACCTTGTTTCCCTGCCCATGCACGAGGCTTGGGATTCATCTGGAAACAGATGAAGAAGAAATTAGCAAAGATGCCAATGCACTGTACATTGTCCAATGTGTTTCCAAGTCCCAGATTGCTGTAATTGTGTGGATGAGGACAGCTAGTATATACTGACAGAGGTTAAACCTTTTCTTGTTGTTAGTTTTTGTTCACCTCTCACTCTGGTGACACCAGGTAGGACATGGGGAATTTTCTGAAAATCTAAAATTTTAATGAAGCTGCTGCAACATAAATCAAATCAATGCAAAATAGGAACAGCATTGGACAGCTACAGTTAATTACAGATTCTTACACAGATGATAATTCAGCAATCAGTTACTCACATAAATTGTTTCTGAGCCAGTTTCTGTACAGATCATTCTCATGATTTTCACTCAGTGGATTAATAACATTTTAATCAAACTCTTGATAAAAATTCCAAAACTACATGTGTTTTCCAGTGTTACCACCCACAAACAAGGCTGGATTATCCAACCTTGCAAAGCAGATAAGCGTGGTGGGGCTCAGAAGGCCCGAGATTGTCTGTGTAGCAATTACTTTGTGGTAATTTGAAAATTACAGTGCAAACTGTTTCGTAATATGCACCACTAAAGCACAATTAAAACCTAAATGGCAAGGACTCTAAGATGGCTCCTGCATTATTCGCCAATCTTAAGCTCCTGGTTTCAATACCTTTCATATTTCAGTGGATGTTATGTTTTATAAGGTGCATATCCTTAAACAAGCACTCATTTGTTTCATCAAATGATCACAGACTAGCTGACATGTAGCTATCCTGCTGACATGCTCAGAAAGGAAGGCCAGCCCATTTTTCATCATAAAAGTCATGTTCTTAACTAACAATGTTGGAAAGGAAATTAGTTCCATGATGAAGGAAACATGCACAAAAACCACCTTAGGTTTGCCTCAAACCTGTGATTACCCTGTAGTTCTGTTCCCATAAGAGGAAAGAAGCCTGGAAACTTGAAACCTGTTTCTTAATATGAGTTTCCCTCTGACATTTGCAACCATTATAAAGGCTCTTCTGGGAAAATCTGAGAACAGATCACCTATGGGGAACAAAGTTTTTAACCAGCAGGTAATCTCCCAGATTTAGAATATGTTTGAAAAGTAAGTTGTTAGTTTATGTGCAGTAAACTTTTTTAGAAGAAACATAACATTGTGGTGGCAGCAGATGTCTGATTCTCAACAATAATGGCTATGTGCAGTAACTTCTAGGACAAATATAAGACTCTCTTAATAGAGGCCTGTTGTTTTATACTTTTATGGAATATCAGAACTGTCCGTGGACCTGAATTGTGTGCAGAGTATTTCTCACCTGAACAAAAACAGTTGTGTTCATGTGAAGAGTTTCTACTCGTTCTGACAAGTGATTCAACCATTCCAGATGGTCAGCAATAGACAGGGTTAGATCATCGTCGCACTGTAGTCGAAGAAAATAACATCAAATAGAAGAGAACTCAATGAAAATGAACTTCGATTAAACAGGTGTCACTATAGATGGCATGCCTAATGTACCTCAGACAAGTTGTCCTTCAGTTCAACGGCAGCAAGGCGTACATGCTCCAGTTTGTCAATCTGCTCTTTCAGCCGGTCATCAAGCTCCTGCATCATCATCAGGCTTTCATCTGACCTCACGCAGCCCTTGGTAGCCATCCTGAGTCAAAGAAACACGTTATTTAAAAAAAAAAGGATAAAAGATAAACTTACTGTTTCATAATACAAGGCCTGTGAGAATGTAGTGGCATCAAGAAAGAACATTTTGTGAGGTAAAACTAGTGTATTGACCACTTTACTGATCACGAGAAATAGATTTTATATTGCTCTGTAAATGGCCAAATGTAAATGATGTGTGACTCTATGTACTCTCCCAATGTTGTTTAATAAAACTAATGAAAATACAAGTCCTCAGAAAGCCTCACGAAAAGTACGAGTGGGAGTGCAACTAGAGAGTAAGCTACATCACTTTTACAAACAAAAGTTCGCTAGATCCATGAAAGATGGTTGACCTACTTTCCTATCTGGATCGACATGACATCTACTCATAACTACACGATTGCATTTTTCCAATATGAAACTTTGAAAAGTATTAGTTTTATGCAGGTATTACAGCTACCAAGACGAAGCCCTCGTTTTTAGCTAACAGCACATTATGGTCGTAATGCACATTATCATGCTCCCAGTTTGCGTCCTGTGTTCAGCACAAAGTGAAGAAAAAAAAATCTACTTTGGAAATTATGCTAATCTTAACGTTAGATTAACGTTAGCCGCGCGTGCAACACATCAGTCAAAACATCCAACTGTCCAACTGCGGGGGTGATAATAAAGTTTAAAACAAAAGTGAAGTTACCGTGTTTGTCTAAAGTACACCCAAAATAATCTGAGGTGGAAAAAAGAAAATAAATCCTGTGTTTAAGTTCACAACTTCCTACCTCCGCAGTCACGAAGGAGAAACTTTCTTCGTCCAGACAAGCCTCGTCTTTGTCCTGAAAAAATCTCTGGAATTTGACACTTCTGACGTCACGTAACCCGCTTTTCACAGGTGCGTTACTTTTAGGGTATTACGGTAATTGTTATTAATAAAGATGAAAGAGAAAGGGCATAAACATTTTATGACCGTGCACGTCCACAAACCAGTTTTTTTTCTGTTTGGCCTCCTATATTGTATGAAATCAGACCAACCAGGGGAAACAACAGGGCCATGTTTGTCCCAGTTATACACTTCTATAGTATAACCTGGTATAAAAACTATGTCCATATAAAACAAATTTTGTTTATCAAGTACAAATTGTCTTTTGTTAGTGATTAATAGAGGGTGGGAAAGCTATAAGGTGCATTTCAAACTATTTTCAAGGCAGTGATGTAGTAAAGAAGTAAAACATATCCAGCACTACAAAGTCAAACCTTGATTTCCCAGTTCTTTTAGAGCACGGACATTGTGTGAAATGCTAAAAAGACAACATGTGGATGACCACTGTTTTTGGGAATCTGGGGTGGCCAAAGCTGTAAAACTTTACCTGACTCTGCTGAGGCTTGATTATTTTAATTATAAAATACTCTGTGGAAGCACCTCCCATCAAGGACACTGCATGTCCTATAAGCCTCAGCCAACAGTCCCAAGACTGAAATCATTTCCCCACAATATCTTTCACAAGAATTTGATGCATGATTTTAATATGACAAAGTGAGAATACAGAATCAACAGTACATTTAAGAAATCACAACTGCTTTATTTCTTTTCTTTCAATAAGCTCTTTTTTTAACAAGGGAGAGTAATGACCAAATATCTGAAAGGATAAAGATCAGATAGGATAAATAGAATGCTGGATCAGCTGTAGAAAGCGCTGGTCCTCTGACAAAATGAAATATGCATCTTAAAAGTACAAAAAAAAAAGTCAGGGCAACATTTTGGTGCAGGTACAATGATGAGAAGCATCAAGATCTTTTGCAGTAAGGGATAAGAGGCAAAAACACTCCAAGCCCAATAAACCTATCAACAAGTGAAAGCAGTCCATTCTGAGAACACAGTGACCTTTTCAACGTTAACTCCTTTATAGTGCCACAATATCTAAAATGAAATGTGGGTTTAAGCCTCCCCTCGCTGACAAGGCTCGACTGTACAGTTAAGTATGCATATACATATATACCAGTGAAACATTGTCATAAAGATAAATCGCAACATTTTGTAGTGTCATGGAGCGTTATAGTAAGCAGTAACATTTAACCAGTTATGACATTGGCATTGTGAGTCTCAAAATGAATGTCCATTACAAAAAAACAAAATAAATGATGAATCCAACAGCTTCACATTTTCAAACAGAACACTTTTAAAAGTCCTTCGTAGTCCACTGGAACTGCAGTGCGCACAAAAAAAGCTTAAGCAAAGATCGTATTTTATTTCAGCAAGCAACGCTAAACGCCCCTCATTTGTGATCATTAGCTTCTAACAGAAAAAATAAGTTTTTTGGACCCTGATTGTGATTATAGTTAGGCTGCATTTATTGCTAGTGCCACCTCAGAGACCAGATGCTGAATAATCAAATGGTGATGAGTCTGTTTCTTCACAATTCCCCACAGTACTGTCAAGTGGGATATGAACGGAATTAGAGAGCAAAGTCTTTCAGGAGCATTAAAAGAAACAAACAAAAAAAAAAAGCAAACTGCCCCAGGTTGAGGGATGTAAAAATTATCACTTATATCACATCTTCATAAACAGACAGTTTGATTCATTACAACCCAAACAAAGCGATAAGAAAGCAAACATTTCAATCAGCTATTTCGGGGGGGTCCTTTACAGCAATTGAGAATGCAGCACCTCCCCACCCCACACACAAAACTTCACAATGAGGCCAAAATTGTTGCCAGCTTGGTTTATCAAAATCCATACAGTCGATGGCAGCATAATGAATGCTGAGTTCAGGTACAGTCTTTGTGAAATGTTGCTAGCTTCTAGGCAGGAGTCCTGCAAGTTTACACACATTCAGCACATCACATGCACACGCTGTATCAATGCCAGTGAAGTTCCCATGGAAGCAACATGATTTTGGTACAATGTCCACCTTTTTGTTTCAATTTACAGACAGAAGAGAGCAAGCAACAGAATGTAAAAGCAAAGAACAGAGTTTTAAGAAAAGAAATAAATTCTACCAGTCTAAGTTTTGCCACAGTTCATGGGCTGGGTGTGGAACCCCAGAAGATGCAATTCTAGGCTGATGCACTTGACTTTTGCCATGTTGACATGCAATGATGTCCACAAATTGGAGTTAGGATATTTCCTGCATTAATAAAAGAAGTCCTTTACCAATAGGATTAATGGGTGATGACTTGAAACTTTATTTACCAGCAAAAATGCCAATGAAAAATGACAAACAAGTACCCCACTGCATTTCAAATTTGTTTAAAAAATTTTTTAACAGACTTTGCTTCTCATAGTGAGATTTATCAAGTGTCTGCCTGGTCTTAAGGGTTATAGTCCATAAACAGGGAGTAAATAGTTTGGCAAAATGGTATGAAAAATGAACCATCTGTCTGAGTTGGCCATTTTCCTTTTCCCCGCTTCGAGGAGAAACACAAAAGAAAACAGAAATATCTTTTATCTTTACCAATCTCCCCTTAAAAGTGACTAATAATAAATTAAAGAGGACCTTGAAGAGATCTGCTTAAAAGACTGTTTGTGTCTATGTATATATTTATAATATATTTATATATCTCTATACGTGGTGTGAAATAATAGTGTCCAGTTCTGACAGTTCAAGAGGGGTAATTCATCGTGATGTCTGCATGTCAGCCCCTTGCCTCGGTGCCTTGGGATAAGATGGGTCTCAGAAGGCTCAGACATTGGTCAAGGGGCGTTGTGTTGGCAGGCTGGGTGGTGATGAGGATTTTCAGGTCCATTGTTATGCCTTGCCCTCCTCTACTTTGACCGCCTGGGGTTTAATGGCTCCAGTGCGTGCTGGTTTGGCTTGCCCTGTAGAGGGTAGGGGCTCCTGGAGTTTGCTGGTCATGCCCCCAGATGGTGTCTTGCCCTCACCCACTGCCTTGCGCACTTCTCGTATGGTTTTATTCTGCACAAAAAGAAGGCAGGGTTACTGAGATCTACAGCAGGGCCTGGCGAGCTTTACATTTATGCAGAAAACACTTGTTTGGATAGTCCAAGGCTGATGCTCAGCTATCTGGTTAAAACAGTAGACGTTTTTGACAATTTCCTTCTTTTGCAGCTTCTCACAATTATACAGGTTACTTCATCCAAAAAAGTCAATTTATGCTCTGGAAAAACACCTGGTTGGCAATTACCTATTGTTCACTGCATTGGATCACTTTTATTAACAGCAGTGTTATGAGGCAACAGAGATTCCTAGCTTTCCGTAACGCCATACTCAGCCAAACCATGCTGCTGATTACTAGTTAACTAGTTTACTAACACACAAGTCATTTAAATTAAATTATTAGCATTAGATTATCCAAAATTAAAACCCTTCATTCATCTGTAATTATATCTATAAATGCTAAAGTATTTACTGTAACAAGAAAGAAATGTTCAAATGAAAATTACATATTTGAGAAACATTTTCAGAGAACAATAAAGATTACTCTATAGACAAACTATTAATAATAATGCTATAAACAGTATAGAATTATACTATCTCAGATAAGTCTTTCAATACTAAAAATGTATTGTATCAACACATTTATGATATGGTTACTAGAACTGTACACTTTAAAAGTCAAAGGCACACGCTAAAAAAAACATACAACAAGTAATTCAAATAGAGAAAAAGAAAATTGATTAAATTAAATTACCTATATTTACAGTGGGTGGCTCACCTTCATGCCATCCTCTGGCCCTTTGACAGGGGGCTCGGGGGCCGAGGGAGGGGTGGAGTGGGAAGGGTCACGGCCAGGATTAGGGTAAGGGGGGGAGCGGATGATGACAGGCTTGTTGACCTGCATGACTGGTCTCTGGATGGGGTTGGGGAAAGGGCCTGTGGTGGGGGGCCGCATGTGCATCACCATGCTGCCCTGAGCAGGTGGGACCTGTTGCTCATGGGAGAGGAGGAGGGAAGGGAAGTAGATGAGGGAGTGGGAAATAAATGAAAACACGAATAATTAGCATGCTAGTATTGAATTTCTTAAGGCATTTTCAGATTTGGTCCAAATACTTGAGTTCACTCACAGGTTTGTTGTTAGGGGTTTTTGCAGTTTTAGTTTTTAGAAGTGAACCCAGGACCATCATTTTGAGATGGACGTGAGAGCAGCTTTTAATATACCGAACTCTCTAGCCTTAGGTGGTGGAATATCTCTGTCATTGGCCCAAGTTTAAAAATGCCCTGATTACCCTTTAAAGTAAATAAATCTCAAAATAATCGAGTGAAAAATAAATACCTGTTGAGTAAAATGTGTTGGCAGGGGGCCTACAGGGCCCCCAGGACCAGAGGGCTTGCCACTGGGGCTGGCAGAACCAGGCCTGATGAAAAGGAGGAAAGAAAAAAAAGTTAATAAAGCTGCAAGTGGTGTGTTAGTTATATATACAGTTCTACCCAATTACCTCCTAGTGATTGAACAAGTATTTTCCACTCACCTGTAGGATCCTCCAGATATGCCTGGGGAGTGATTGGGCTTATCAGAGAACTGGAAGCCTTTCATTTCCATCTGCGAGCCCTGATAATAGGAAAGCAAGGAAGACACATTGTCAATACATATGAACAATTGTGGACCACTGTGTTATAGATTTAAAAAAATATGCAGTACCGTACAGATTTGTCTGCACTATTCTAACAGTTTTTTGCTGAGTAACATTAGAACCATAAGTCACACCTCTCGACTGCCAGTCATGACAGCAGGCTGGGAGCCAGGCGGCAGCATTCGACGCGGGGCTCCCACTGACAGGTTCTGTCCCTGCTGCAGCTGGATGGACTGTGGGAGGAT